TGTGTTATTATTAGATAGGTTTTGGTCATATTATATATACCTTAGTATGGTTCTTAGATCATCATAAATCCTCACCATCTCCTGCATTTATGAATTTCCCTATCAAGTATTCAATTAAGTGATTCATTTTTTAATGACAGGGATTTATAGACTCTTCAGCAGAAATTCCCAAATTCTTTTCCTAGCAAAAGTCTAATGTCTGATTTGCTTAGCCTCTGAGGAAGTGATGTAATACAAAGGGGAGTTTAACATAATGCAAAACCCAACCTCACTAAATCAAACACCTAAAAACCTCCAAGAGTTGCAAACGATACAACTGCAGTGACAGTAAGGAAAAGCCAAAACAAGGAAATCAAAGGACCTGAAGGGCTCCTGCTGAGCAAACACTGGCTAACTGCCATGAAAATGCCAGTGAAGCAAGCCCTTTCTAAAAGCTTTACAATCCCATCTGTCTTTTAAAAAAATCACACTTCAGGTTAAATTCTATTCTTCTTTGCTAGATATTTATCTCAGCAAGGGAACATTATACCTGAAAAAACTGGACATGCCGGGTCAGTGCCTTGCTTAAAGGACAACATGCTTTCTTAACCATACAATGGTTAAGATATGAACAGGAAAATACAGATTGGGGATCTTCAGATACTATTACTTCAAGGACTAACATGCCTTTGAGTGTTTGCCTTAGGTGATAAGAAAAGCCAGAATGAACTTCCAACACAACAAACACTAATCAACTACTGCAAGGGATACTTTATGGCAGCAGTTATACTTGTATGGCCAGATGGCATGAGTGTCAAAAATGTCATCTCTCGTCTCTACTTGGCTAGAAACTCTGTCCCATATAAGATCTGGCTATAACTGTTCATCAGTTGGGACTTGCACGCTGTGTTTCTGTAATTCACTGCAGCTGAAACCAATCGTAAAATGCAGAACATCTGTTTGCACAGACTGACTATCGGAGAGGACCACTGTACTTTTCTGTTCTTGTGCCTCTCTTGCTTTCAGCTGCAAGTTTTACTCCTAATTTTCTAAAGAACTGTTGGCTCAGACACTGAGGTTTGGTAAAGATGTTTAATCTGTGAATCATTATGGAAGTACACTACTCTGAAGCAATGCAGATCAGAAAGCTGAGGATAAATCAAACAAGGAGCTGCAGATAGTAGGCTTTTTGAGCCATGGGGAAAACAGCATCATTGTGAACGTCTGAAACTTCTTCAGACCTTTTTAGGAATGAAAGTCACAATCCTAGTGTTAGACTAGGAATGGCATCAGACAGCTGAACACCCTTTCAGAAGTAACTGGTATTATATCAGAAATGGATTGGCTGGAACATAGAATCATACTGTCACAGAATGAGTTTGAAGGGACCTTAAAGACCATCTAGTTCCAGTCCCCCTAACATTTTCCACTAGACTTAGTTGATGAAAGCCCCATCCAACCTGGCCATGAAACAGTTCCAGTGATGCGGCATCCACAACATCTCTGGGCAACCTGTTTCAGTGTCTCACCACCCTCATAAAAAAGAATTTTTTCCTAATATTTGCTCTAAATCTCCTCTCTTGTTACCTTAAAGCCATTCCCCCTTGTCCTGTCACTACATACCCTTGTAAAAAATCCCTTAATGAGTTAAAAGTGAGATGAAAAACTAGCTGCTGCTTACTTTTGTGTTGTATTTACTAGTTTTCTTATTTTTCAAAAGAAGCACATTGGAAGAGCAGAAGATCCTGCTTGTTGATAGTAATTCAACATTAATAAAGTCAGTGCAATCAAATGGCAGTAATGATACTGAAGTGGGCAAGTGGGATCACAGTTAGAAAACTTAAAGGAAGATTCCAACTCTGGCTTTCATTTCATAGCAACATGAAGGCAAATGTTAGAACTGTTCAAGAAGGCCAATACAAGAGTACAATATGGGTTCATTATCATCATTATTATTATTAATAATGTCTCAATGTGATCTTTTGTTGAACTGCTTATGGTATAGGTTGGTGCAGAATTAACCAGTGGTGATCTTATTCCTTTTTACAGAGAAGTTGTTCCTTTTCGTTTAGTTTCAGACTTTATGATACACTATGTCATTTTATCATCTCTCAAAGATGAAAATCCAACTGATTTATTTTGCTTTAATTGTATCCAGCCACGTTGTTCAGAGAGGAAGTAAGCAAAATGCAGCTTGGTTTCATCATCCTATTGCTTTGTGAGACTAAATTTTAGCTATGTTATTTTTCTTAACAGTATTTATAGAGTAAAACCATGAGCATGCCTATGGAATTTCAGTACTTTCACCTAACAGGTCGCACAGAAGAATCAGCTTTCAGGAGAAGGCTTCTAGAAGTTCTTGCACTCTGCAGCCTGAAGCAACTAATGTGCAAGACCTAAGGTCTGAAAGAATATGCTGGGCTGTGTCAACAAAGGAGGCAACATAGCGCCCTACTTCTTTTAGCAACAGGTTATCTGCAAATTCTTTGGCTTGCAACTGACTTGCAAACTGGAAAACTAACTTTCTCTGTCTGAGCTCACACGAGCTTGAACAATTATTCAAGGCAATGAGCACAATGAGTAAGTGTTAAAATATCACTTCAAAGCAAACCTGGTATATTAGCTTCAGGTTAGCCCTTGTAACAATGTAACTTAGAGGAATGTACATTGCAGCCACAGTCTGAAACCCAGCAAATGTTCAACCAAAAAATTCAGAAATTCAGACAGGAATAATTTTGCCATTCTTTGAGCAGTTGTATTTCAGAATTATTTGAACACAACTCCAAATGTAAGCAGGTGCAAGAAGTTATGTTTACCTACTAATATACTAATATCTCCCACTAAAACCTGAAAGGAAGACTTTAACAGAAAGGTGCTTTAGCTGGTGCTAGGGAAGGACCTTATCTTCCCGACAATATTGTCCTTTTGCCATGGCCTTCACTACCAGTTCACAAAGAACTTAAGGTCGGAAAAGATAATAACATTCTTACCAGACTTTCTGTCTCCACAGCACTTGAGTCAAAACCCCAGTGTTTAGTGCCATCATTTCAGTAACAAAAATTTTAAATTTCAGAGTAGATCAAATTGTTATATGCTACAGTATACTGGGGTAGAAAGGTACCCGTCTTGCCAAAGCTCTTGCAGTAGCAGGAACACAAAGCCCTTCCAAATTGCAAATTCAGCAATCAGGGAGACTCTGAATACACTAACAAAGCATATATCCATCATCACCATCATCAACATCATCATCCTTCTATTTCCTCTATCATTTTAGAGGACTGATATTCCATGATGGCTTCTCTATGTTCAGTGCTAAAGAATTCACTTCCGGAGCCTGGAAAGCAATCAGAAAATGTCTCGTAACACCATGACAGAGAAAGGTCTAGTTGTTTCCCCCAACATTTGCCTTAGATATGCTCCTGATTCCAGACTGGCAGTTCACAACTCTTTCTCTTGCCATACGACTAAAAGACTGCCTATGCCATGAACATAATCTTGTTCAATTTTCAGGTCCACAATGTGCAATCAACAGCAACAGGTAAAGTTGCCAAACAAAAAATAAAATAAAATAAAATATAAAATAAATAAAATAAAATAAAATGGTGTAAATTTTTATTTACTCTTTCCATTACTGTGTGGCCTGTCAGGAAACAGAGTGTTTCCATAAGAGAACCTGAGTGTGAGCAGGCAGAATGAATGGTCTCCCTAAGCATGTGTACAGCATGCACAGCCTTAGATTAAACATAGCTCTTCTTATGGAAGAGAGAGAATTTAACAGTTCAGTGTTATTTAAAAGTTAAATGCTTCAATTAAATGTAATCCAAGGCTTCATTTCACTCACTAGCATGGTTTTCATCCAGATCTTTAACAAGCTCGTAGAAAATGTGCCCTTCGTAAATGTGAATGGAAGATGTTACAAAGCAGAACCCAGAATGCAGCAGAATGCAAAGATGTGCCAGTCAGCATCCTGGTGACCTACTTTTATTGTAGCAATCCCATTTATGAAGATATGTCACTATTTATTTTTTTTTAGAAAAGCTGCACGATGAGGTGTCAGCAAACATGCTGCTTATCATTAAAGGTGTTGCTTGATGACTGCAAGTACTTGTCTGTATGACTGACAATTTTATCAACAAGTTCTCAGAGTAATGTGCAGTACCACTTTCCTAAAGGAACAAATACTGCTACGTTTCTACAATAGAAATATGTGGGACTGAACAAGATGCCCATCTACAGTAAAAGTACTGTCTTATGGATTCTAAAATTGTAAAAACTGGAGAGACATGTTTTCTGATGGCCAATGACAGGGTTGCTTAGGGCATTTTATTTTTGGTATAGGGACATTTCAACAATTTCTATTGCCTAAGTAAATATTGCCTAAGTAAATATTCTATGTATTACTTCATTATTTCACTTGATAAAAACTACTTCATTTTTCACAGCCACAGATCTTTAACGCACATGTTAAGCAAGCAGAACATCATTACTCTTCCTTATGAGTAAGGCAAGTCTATTTCTCTTATTTTACTTAGGAAAAAAAATCGTTCAGACTGTTAAGTTGAGAACAACTTGGTAAAGGGATCATGAAATGACCCAGAGGGTATTTACAAAACAAACAGAGGACAACAGTGGAAGTAATAAAATTTATTAATGTACTTTCAGAAGCATTCTGAAACTATAGCCTAAATTGAAAGCGCTGGTGAACTGAGTGTTTCTAAATTACTTTTGGTGTTTGTGTGTTTGTTGGGGTTCTTGGTTTGTTTGTTTGGGGCTTTTTTTAGGGAATAAGGGTTAATAAATTAAAAGGATCTTAAAACTGAAAGTATTTTCTGGCTCATTTACTGACAATAAGTCAATATAATTTTATTGGTGCTGAGGGCTGACCAACAAAAAATAAAAGTAACCTTGAATAAATTGCAGGGCAGTGTATTACTAGGCAAGTATTTTTACACTTAAGTCTGAGGCTAAATGTTTAGAAAAATAATATTTAGAAAGCACAATGAAAAATGAACAATACTTACAACCATACCGTTTAGGGACACCCAGCAATCTGGTGGGAAATCCTGGAGTAAAGGTACTAAAAACTGCAGACAACCATCCCAATGGCACAGAAGCAGCATCATTCCAATCAGATTAAAGATTCTTACCACGGCACTGGCCAGATCGTACGTCATGTGGAAAATCTGTGGGCAAAAATTACAGGTGATATAGATGATGTAAATCAAAATAAAAATAATTTCATTCTTATTGGGCAGGTTAAAGGCATCCTGAAATACTAAAAAAAGCTGAGATTTCTCAGCAAGGACCATTAATTTCAGCATATTCATTTGGGCAGAGAGCTGTGTCGACATACCTGAGACTTGGCTGCCCATCAGTTTTTTGTAAAGTGCCAAAAATGGCATATTTTGGATAACAAGTTATTAACTAAAGTGTTTTCTGAAAGCCCACAACTCCTTTCAATTGAAACAAGTCTCACTTCCATTTCTATACTATTAATCCAATTTGCACATACCAGTTCACCGAGCAAAATGACAAAAAGGTTAATTCATTGCTCGTAATCATCATCAGTTTTCATGAAATACTGAGCATCCTGTGGCTACTACATCCGCAGTAGCTAAGTTTATGTCAAGCTACTAGAATAATTTTTATTTGAATATTTCTCCATTCTAAGACAAAAAAAAAAGTTTGCATCTGAAATGGGTCTTACAGCAAATCACACATACACTCTTAAAAACAACACAGATGTTTTCAGGTTTTTCTTGGGCAATTTTTTGGACAGAGTTAGCATAAATAGCAGCAGTCAGCTGCCAAACGGTAGGGAGAAATAAAAAAACCTTTATTTAGAACTATTCTGCTATATTGGTATTAAAGAACTTCCAAACTACAAATACAGGCATGTTCTTCACTCATTACATAATTCAGTCAACTCAAGATAAATATGCTGCATTTTAATTCACAAAATTATCACTATGCAAGAGTGCCATGCAGAAGATGAACAATGTCCAGTTGTTTTTTTTTTTAATGGGGTTTTAAGTAGAAATTATGATTTAATTGTGCACACAGACATAGGAATCATAGGCTCTAGAGCTAAAAACATCAGATTAGCATGTTGGCATGTGACATTATGCATTGGTAAATAAGACAATTCACATATGAAAGAGGGAATGTTTGTATCCTAACTTTTACATATCTAAACTAAAAGCAGAGATGGAGTACCCACACTGTAAATAAGTGCAAGAGCAAATATTGATAGCATGTTACAGTGTCGTTCGACATAATTTAGTGGGAGTTTGCCCTCATTTGAAAATGATGATGTGTGTTTTGAGTCCCAAAATGTAAAATCTGCATAGTAGAAATATACCTCAGACATTAACTTCATGTGCAAAACTTTTTTCCAATCTAGGCCATTTTAGGAGAAAATATTTCAGACCCAGTTTGATAGACAATGGAAACAGATGCTTGTAACATTACTCAAAATGTCAAGTCTTATCCAAATACCATCTAGCTCCTGTTAAAACTGAGGGGATGAAACTGATATTTAGGAGATACTGTAAATGGAAATAAACAGAAAAGTGTCACCGTTACACATTTGTGTTCTTAAAAAATGTATTTACATTACAGCTGTTTCAACAGCTGCAGTTTCAGTGGCATGATATGAACTAAGAGAGTAGATGTGTGAACCAAAATAATTTTATATTAAAGAACTGGAAGAAATAGCAAGGATTACTATTGTTTTGGAACACTAACATTCACTCAGGTTACACAAAATCCACATGCTTATTATACTACAACCAGAAAGTGCGTAGGAATTCCTGATCACATGAAAAGTTTCATAAGTTTTTTCAGAGAAAGAGGGAATATTTGTCTAAATAAGTGCAGAATATCAGACAGAAAAAATACATATCTTACATAGAGATCACAACCCAGGCACTTTCTAGTGCTCTGGAAAATCAAGTTATCACATTTCTCTACTATGGCTGGACAAAACTAAAGTTCTCACACACAGTTTCCCTACTGCTTCAAGCTTCCCATTAAGTTTTACAGTAAGAGAATAGATTTTCAGAATACCTTACTGTATTGGATATTAAGAAGTTTTTTAAAAAATGGGTCACAAATAGGACAATCGGAGCCAAACTGACTACAAACATCTTTATTTCTATACTTAGAACTTATCCATGATCCTAGATACATGTAACAAACACAGGAAGATCTGTTTCTTCAAACCCCTCCAGAGTCCAAAAGACGGCACTTGCGTATACCCAAGTCTCCTGCACCTTTATCCCGCCTCTGCAAGTATGGGCTTAAACACCATGACAGATTGTGCATGTACCCTGCAAACACAGCTGTATAAAAATGTAAATTCTACGGCTCTTGCACTTGGATGGAGCTCATTTTTGGGCATCAATTCAGATTACACTGATGGCCTGCAAAACTCGTATCTTGATATAGAATTTCCAGGAGTTAGAGCATTTTCTGCTGGTACATTTTAATTTCAAATTTTAGAATTATATAAGTGGATAATGTGCACAAAATTATTATTTTTTTTTTTAAGAAAAAGTGGGTGGATAGATTTGCCAAGGTATTTATTTTAGCATATCTAAGATCTTGCCTAGCTTTTACAGATGTATCAATCCCTCATGAGACTATGATGGCTCAGTGAGGTTCCCCCAAATGCTGTAGTAGAATCAGGACAGAGAAAACATACTACAAAAGTTGACTAAAATTCAAATCAAACATCTGGAGCAGCGAGTTCAAACTAAAGAGCCTTGCTAGACCAAAGAGGCCTGCTGCTGGGTTCGGGTTCTGCAAGGACTATTCTACACTGTCACAGTGGTACAATTGTGTAATTATAGTTTTTTTCAGAGCCTCTTCATTAGTAGTGTGACCATATACCGCAAGAAAAATAACGTGTGAAAACTGTGTGAGAAACCAAATCCAGCAAAGGGAATGCCAGCAACAGCCTGGGAATGACACTTCAATCTTCCATTATTTCTGAAAACTTTCACTCCAGAAATATCTCCTGTGAAGCTTAGCATGCAGAGTCAGTATTATTAAAAATTAATAACGATATTCTGGATATTATCTGGTTTGCTTAACATGACAACACTGTCTCATCTTTTCAACCATACCATATTCTATCACTCATATTTTGCTTATATGAACTAGTATTTGTGTAAGCTGTTCTAAGAACTGTGATGACTCTGGATTAAAGAAAGTAACGTCATAGGCAAAATCTGAAGTAAATACTGAAAAAATGACTTTTAAGCATATTCTCTCCCCAGCAAATAAAAGCTGTGTTTTTTTCTTTTAAAAGGAACTTATTATGGAAATGTGCGCTTAGTTGGAAAAAAACCCCACATTTAAATACACAAAGCATATATTGTAAATGAAAAATAATATTTGTTTATGGTACTGTATTGACATATTTATATTCGGAAGGGGGGGGGTGTTGTTTTTTTAAAAGTAATAGCTAAACTACCTTGTGGACTAAAGTCATATATTGCATGTTTAATATTTTATGTTCTTACATTCTGGAACAGTAAGAGAAGTTATATTTTTATACCATTTTCTTTTTGTACTCGCAAAGTACAGTTTCTGTATTAATGAACCAAACATTATTAAAACTCTTAGGAGACATGTGAAATGTAGTTTGTCAAGTGAGGAACTGAAGGACAGAAAGCTACTGCCACTCATTTCAGCAGATGTTGGCTTGCCCATCAGCCAGTCTTCCAGTGGGATAGGAAGAAATATGGAATGACCACAAATAGATTTACCTTGATTTTGCAGGAGAAATGTGTGTTCAGATCCCCCTGGATGAATGGATGCATTTATTAAAATAATATTAAAAAACAAATGATTAAAACACTTGCTCACAACTGAAGTTAGGCTCCTAAACCTCAGGTAGCTAAACATAAAAATTCTGATTATCATTTAACACTTACCAACCACATATGTCATGCAAATAAGCAGGAATTTTTGTAAAACACATTTGAAAATCTGGCCATTTTATTTAGGCTCCTAATTTCATAACTCAATATACAGCTGAACCAGAATGAAGTTCACATTTTAGAAAACAACAACAGCAACAAAAATAAATTACTAGAGTAGCATAAGATTAGTGCAACTGAGAAAAAAGTAAAAGTCCCTTGAAAACCAACTCTTTCTACATTTTTCACATAATGGGAACGATTTAATAGATATAGATCCTTTTTGTTTCCTACTCAGTTTCAATTACACATGCTACGTTCTTCTTCTTCTTATTATTATTATTGTTTTTCTATAATTGTCTTTATTCATAGCTTCCATATACTTCAAATTCTAATTTAATAAGAAATGTAGTTTATGAACTCATTTCTAAGAACACTAAATTTCTGTGTTATTTTCATTACATTTTCACAGTACCCTGGCAACATTAAATTTTTGCCTAAGAGTTGACAATGCCTTTGATGGTGGCTGATATATAACTACAGATTAATGGTTTCTACTATTTTAGCAAAATATTGCTCACAGAGAATATGAAATTGCTGAAGAAGTCTGAGTTCACGTGTTTTATCTCAGTTTTTACTCACACTTTATTCATGACTCTTTCTATTCCCACATGTAAGCAGGAAGCAGACTACTCCTTCCTCACGTTTATAAGGGAGTGTATACTTCAAATTGGTCCTGCTAAATCCTGACTTCTGAACCTGAGACAGAAAACCTGTTCCAGTCTTACCGTCCCAGTTGCTTAATAGCATTTGAGGGAATGTTAACAGTGCACATACATTTTGAGTGAATGACCAAAAAAAAAACTGCTCAACTGCTGTTATGGAGTGCATAGGTTACCGCTTCTGCCTTCTGATAATTGGAATGTAGTATGTGTTTAGCTATGATATTTAGTTCAGTTTGCTTTTTATGTTCAGTTTACATTAAAAAAAATTACTTACATAAGAATTAATCTCTGATTAAAAACAAAAAAGGAAAGAAATAAAACGTAAGTCTTTGGACTTTTAGAAAATTTATAGAAATCTCACATCACTGATTTCACCCAGACATCTCTTCCATCCCTCAGAAGTACTAAAGGTGTAGCAGAAAGCTATCTTGGGTTTAATCTTCAAATTAGGATTTGCATCATGCCTCAAGCAATATGAAATGACAGTCATATTAAGTGAGCTGTGTGGAGTCTGGAATATTAAATACCCAC